CCCATCTGATTAGTAAAAACACAAACACAACAACCACAAAATCCCAAGAACCATCGTCTTCTTCTCAAAGACAAGCTATGTCAGGGAATGTAAGACCAAATGATCTATAACTTCCATCTCCAAAATTTAGGGGAAACCCTGAAAATCTCTTGGGTAAGTATTGCTCTATGGTAAGGAGAGTGATCAGTCATTTACTGAGGAAATACTCTTCCTGAATGAAGAGGGGTCACATGTGCCTCCATTCCAAGGTCAGGCACCCCAGCCCCTACAGCTGCTAGCCTCATCAAGGATCTGAATCTCTGCCCCCATACCTCCTCCTCCAACCCACTCAGCTGACATTCATCCAGAGACCCAACATTTAAAGGATAGTAGATAACACAGACACATGTACAATGCACAATACATGTACTCAGCAAGGTGTAGACAGCAGCACCCACAGACTGTGAGCTCCTCGAGAGAAGGGATTGTTTGCCCCTTTCTTTGTCTCCCCAGCCATCATTGGTTCCTGAGACATCACAGACACCTAATAAATCCTTGCTGACTTGGTTTGACTTGACCCACGTAGCATATGCAAAGATATTTAGAGATCACTTGGGGCAGGAGAAAGAATGCTGCCTTTGGATCCAAGGATCTTGGGTTCAAATTCTGGTTTAGCCACTTACTAGTTGTGTGACCTTGGGCTACTCAGTTAACCTTTCTTGGACTCAGTTTCCCCACCTGCAAAACGAGGCAGTTGGATTAGATGATCCTTTCCTCTTCGATCCATGAACCATAAATTATGTTGACTACCTCAGAGCAACCACAGACACATAGAACCCAGACATGCCATGGGGAGTGGGGATGGGAAACAAGCATTTATTGAGTGCCTACTGTGTGCAAAGTGCTGTGCTAAGTATTTTACACATATTATCTCACTTGATCCTAAATCATAAGATTTACAGCTGAAAGGGACCATAGAGATTATCTAGTGAGTCCAACTTCGTCATTTTACAGATGAGAAAACTGAGGCTTGGAGCAGTGAAATAATGAGGGCAAATGGGTAGCAAATAGCAGGCCTTTCTTTCCATGGAGCAGGTAGTGAAACACACACACGGGCCCAGGGATGCAGAAAAAAATGGGATATACACAGAAGAACTGCTCAAACCCAGAAGGGCAGCTAGGTGGGGCAGTGGTTAGAGCACTAAGCATGAAGTCAGGAAGACCTGAGTTCAAATCCAGCTTCAAAGAGTTACTAGCTATTTGACCCTGGGCAAGCTCCTTAACCCTGTTTGCCTCAGCTTCTTCATGTGTAAAACAAGCTGGAGAAGGAAATGACAAACCACTCCAGTCTCTTTTTCAAGAAAACCTCAAATGGGGCCACAAAAAGTCAGATGACTGAACAATAATTCACTCAAACACAGAGAAACATGGGGACAGACCTGTGAAGACTAGCTTTTTTGGAGGGTATATGCTTTCTGTGACTTCTCAAGTGAAACCAAATTTCCTGGGTAGCTAGGTGGCACACTGGATAGAGCACTGGGCCTGGAATCAGTAACATCTGAGTTCAAACCCAGGCTCAGACACTTACTAGCTGTGTGACCCTGAGTGAGTCATTTAACCCTTAACTCTGTTCCCTCTCTGTAAAATGGGAACATTAGAGTAGAGTCAGACATGACTGAACCACCTGAAAATAACAGGCTCCTGAGGAAGAGGGTCGAGTCTCTAGCAATAGAAAGGAGAACAGAGAGCTTTGGGTGGAAGGTTCTGGGGCAAGAGAGTTATCTCAGTGACAGCTGCTTCCTCACTGGCCCTAAAGTCTCACTCTCCTCTTAATCAGGTGGGTTCAAGGCTCCAGTCAGGATAGGAGCTGCTGTCCTGGATGTACTGATGTGTCCTATACTGCACTGATATGGATGTTCAGGAAGGGTGGAGAGGAAGGTGGGGGTTAAAAAATAAAAAAAGACGCCAGGACTGAATACAGAACTTACCATTACTCCTGATGGCTGGAGCTGCAAGAGACCAGAAAGCAGGGATTAGACCAGGACAGGGAACCCAGGGGCCAGGTAGCTACAGCATGGAACTCCCAGGAGCCAGGCTAGGGACCCAGCGAAGCCTGTTGTGCAGTCTTTCCCCAGGCTTTCTCACAGCTACCTGGAATCAGAGTGATTGCAGGGGCACTGGAAGTCCCCTCCCCTCAACAAAATAGGAAAACAATCTACTGCCTGCTCAGTGACATTGGAAATGCCACCATTAGAGACCTTCCTGGGGCTTAATATTTTGTTCCCTTTTAAAATGCAAACTTCTTTCCATCTCAGTGTGAATGAGTTTATTGAATTAAATCCTTTCTTGAGAGTAGGGTTTAACCTGAGTGCTCATGAACAGGGAGAAGGATAAAGAAAGGAGAGTCTCTGGGGGACTGGCTATATCTGGCTATGCTTTTTCTTCTTTGTAATTTTTTAAAATTTGTTATTTATTTATCCTTAACATTCTTTTTTTAAAGGTAGAATTCCAAATTCTCTCCCTCCTTTCCACTCTCTGCTGCCCATTGAGAAGGCAAGAAATGTGGTATCACTTATACATGTGAAATCATGCAAAACCTATTTCCATATTACTGGCTATGCTTCTTAAGAACTGTGAAAGGCCATGGGGGCTGCACGTCTGGCTTAGGATTTGTGAATAGTCACTATTTTAACCAGGTGGTACAGTGGATAGAGCACAGAGCCTAGGCACGAAGATCAGAGCTGAGAACTAGACCTCAGACATTTACTAGCTGTGTGATCCTGGGCAAGTCTCTTAACACTGTCTGCCTCAGTTTCCTCATCTATCAGATGGAGACAATAACAGCACTTACATCACAGGACTGTTGTGAAATGAGATAATATCTCAAAATGAGGTAATACATGTAAAGCCCTTTCCAAACCTAAAAGTGCCATTTAAATGCTAGCTCTTATCATTAGTGCAAAGGCAGAATTGGATCCTTACCTGAACAGGGGAATGAGGCCAGGGATGTTTAGATGTTTAGAGATGGTGCAGAGGGAAGGCGCAGGAAAATCAGAACTTTCTTTCCATGTAGACAGAAAGATAGAGCAGGATTCTAAGAGAAAGCCATCTCCCCAGCAAGGGCTTGAAAATGGGAAAAAATGAGGATATCCAAGTATCTTAGACAGAGGAACTACTCTGAAAGTCAGGAGACAGGGTCGTGTGATCTCAAGAAAGAAAGTCCCTTCATTTACTAAGTATTTGTGGAACACTGGCTCTGCCATTTACTAACTGTGCAACTTTGGGCTAGACATTGAGTCCTCCCTTGGCCTGAGTCTCATTTATAAAATAAGACATCTAGACTACATGGTATCTTGGGTCCCTTTGGGGTCTAAAGTTCTATTCTAATTACTGAAAATGTCCAGGGCTCCTGGAGTCCCCAGGTCACTGAGTTGAATCAAAAGGTGACTGGATAGATCTATGACTTGATAAAGCTATGGAACGTCCAGGGATCTGTCCAGACGCTAGTATGAGCTGCATGACATTTGGGGGAAGTAGAGAGGAATGTCTGCCATGACCCATTGTGGGCAAGCCTGGAGACTTTAGATCACATTTTGGCATTGGTGGGGCAGGAAATCTACACTTAGTATATCTCATCTAAACTTAAAATTTGATCTGGAGATGACCCCCACACACAAAAAAAAAGGGAAAAAAAGAGGAATTTGCACTAAAATCAGGGGCATGATGTGGCTTTGGAGTTAGAGGACCTGAGTTCAAATTATCGCTCTGCTACCTTTGCAACCTTGGGCAAATCATTTACCTTCTTTGGCCTTGGGTTTCTCTCTCTCTCTCTCTCTCTCTCTCTCTCTCTCTCTCTCTCTCTCCTCTCTCTCTCTCTCTCTCTCTCTCTCTCTCTTTCTCTCCTTTCATCTAAAAATTGGGGGAAGAAGAGGAGGCATCCAAGTGACCACTAATGTTTCTTCCAACTCTAAATCTTTGATGTAGGGCCACAGTTTAGAGCTTAAAATTACATTAACATTTTTTGATACACCTCACCACCACCCTCCATTTCAGATAATGTCTATATACCTGAAGGAAATAAAATTATTTTAATTATTTTAATTATTCAAGCCTCACAATCTGCTGTGCCTGAATTACTGAAATTGGGGTTCTACCTATTTGCTGGTTCCCCGGATAAACACTTCCCTTCCCTCAACAAGGAAAGACAGCTTTAGACACAGGAGGGGAGCAAACTACAGCAAATGTTTCGTGATTTGAGCTGCAGAGGGAGAAACACCCTCAACCACCTCTTGACTGAAGCAATTTGACTCCAGTGTGGTTACTAAAATAGAAACATCCTGGAGATGTCTGTCTAACACTGAGTTGTTATCAGCCATTTATACCACAGAGACGGTCAGGTTTGCAAAGAACAGGCCACACAGTAGCAAAGAGAAAGAAAAGCTATCAGGGTCCCTGGTCGGGAGAAGACAGTCAAACAAGAGCCAACTTTCACTTTGCCTAGAGCAAGGTGTAAGAATTTGCACTATTGGAATGGGATTGTCCAGCAACTCTAACATCTCCCCTCTGTCCTGACTCTAAGGAATTGGTTATGTTTAGCCCCTTAACACTCCCACCCTCCCCCTTCTTTCCATTTTCCCCATTCATACTTTCCTCCCAAGTTAGGCCCCCAAATGATGCCTGAGCTAGAGTTGGCCCTTTGTCTTTGTACCCCCATTTTCTACTCCATTTATCTCAGACTCACCTAGACACAACAGTGCTATCCACAGCAGCACAGAGCTGGTGGTGGTGACAGGTTGGGGCACCCATGGCCCCGCCATGGCAGACAGGGAATGCCAGGAGCGGACTCCAAGCAGCACAGAGATTCAGAAAATAGCAGCACACACCCGTCCCACCGCCGCCAGCAAGTCCACTCCAGAGGACATGTAAACACTCCTTTTAGAAGAGGAAATGAGCATTGGCCTTCCCTCAGAATCCCCTCCCCTCCCTCCCTTTCCCTGACTCTCCTCCCACTGAACTCTCCCTTCTTTCTGGTCCCTCCCTCTTTGCCAGTGGAATGCAGGGTTTCCTGGCCCTGAACCCACACAGCTGGAACCAACTCATTACACAACTCTAAATTCAGAGAAATCTGCTAGATAGCCAGCAAACTACCCCACCCTGGCCTCAGTGGAACCCAAGCTGTAAGTTGCACTGGAAGTAGAAGTGTGTGTGTGTGTGTGTGTGTGTGTGTGTGTGTGCATGTATCATATATATGTGGAGAGAGGAACAGAGAGAAACAAAAGAGAGAGAATATATATATATATATATATGTGTGTGTGTGTGTGTGTGTGTGTGTGTACATATGTGTGTGTGTATATATATACATATATGGATAGATAAATAGATAGATGGATAGATAGATACAGATATGTATTTGGGATCACAATATTCTTCCTATCAATAGCTTGTTGTGAGGATGAAATGTGATAATATATTTAAAGTAATTTGTCAATCTCAAAGCTCTATGTAAATGTCAGCTGTTGGTTATTCAAAGGGCATACCCCAGACTCCAGTCCTAATTCAGAGACAGAATAGAGAAGAATGAAAAGTACTCTTCCCTAGAGTACCGTGATGCACCATAATAATAACACATTTACAGGTACTTTTCTTATAGCCACCTTGTGACATGTGGTGCATATATTATTCCATTTGGTGGGTGAAGAAGCAGGAGCTCAGATAAGCTGAGTGACTTGCCTGTGTTCAGAGAGCTATGAAGTATCAGAACCCAAGTTTCCTCATTCTCTCTGTCCATTATGCCACTGGATCTGAGTTCTTGGTGCTAGAAATAGTGACCTGAGATTACCCATAGTTATAGGTTATCCATAATAATAGGACAAAATACTCCAGGGAAAGTCAGGAAGTGGGAAGCTCTTTAGAATGGATGGGTGGGGTGGTGCTTGCTTTCAATACTCCATACTGGGAAGGCTGAGATTGGAGATCCATTTTGAGTTCTGAGTTCCAGTAGGGTTAAAGTCAAGTGTGTGTCTGCACTGTCTCCCTGTGAGTGGAGGGCCACCAGGCTAGCTAAAGAGGGATGCACCAGCACAGGTCAGAAAAACAGAGAAAGTAGAAACTCCCAGGCTGCTCATTATTGAGATTGGGCCTTTGTATTTCCAGCATGGATGAGATAGGACCTCAAAACATAGTCTCAAAAAAAAAAGTAAGAAAGAAAGACAAACAAAAGGAATGGAATTGTGAATACACAAAGAGATGTAATTCCAAGGAGGAGGAAAACGTGAATTATCTGAAGGAAGGAAAACACAGATGTACAGGCAACTTGCCAGCCAAGTTAGACTTTTAAAAGATGCATAGAGGAGGCAGATCTCAGATGGCAGAGTAAAGGCAGACACTCGTCTGAGCTCTCCTCCAAGCCCCTCCAAATACCTTTAAATGATGACTCTAAACAAATTCTAGAGCAGCAAAACCCACAAAAAAAATGGAGTGAAACAATTTTTCAGCTCAAGCCAACTTAGAAGGTCAGCAGGAAAGGTCTGTGGCACCTGATTGAGAGTGGAGCACAGCTCAGCACAGGATACAACAGCACAGCCCTGGTCCCAGCAAACCAGGAGCAGGCCTCAGGAGCCACTGAATCATCAGTGGCAATAGCTGCTTGCAGAGCTCTCAGCCCTCAGATAGTAAGGACATTGAACAAGAAGGAGATTGCAGGGGTCTCTTTGCTAGCACTGAGGACAGACTCTGTTGCTTTGCCCATACTTGGATCCAGGTCACAGTCCTGGGTGGCAGTCCCAGGGTAAGGAGAAGCACTAGCACAACAAAGCTTGTGGCCACAGCGGAGTGGGGACTCCTCACTGTTCCAGGGCAAAAAAGAGTGCTTGTGGTTACTCACAGACTAGAGCATAGACCAGGAAAGTAGTAAACACTCCTTAGATCATACCATCTTGGAAGAACTGAAAACTTACAAATCCCTAGAAGAATCTCTGAAGACAGCTGCACAAAACCCCTGAAGCTTGAGTCAGTGCATCGTCCACCCTGGAATAAGAGCCCTACTAAAACAAAAGAGTTAAAAAGTCAAGTATTTGGATAGGGAAATGAGCAAACAACAGAAAAGAAATTCTAGCCATAGAAAGTTACTATGGGACAAGGAAGATCAAAACACTCACTTAGAAGAAGATAACAAAGTCAAAGCTCCTACATCCAAAGCCTCCAAGAAAAATATGAATTAGTCTCAGGCCATGGAAGAGCTCAATAAGGATTTTCAAAATCAAGTCAGAGAGATAGAGGAAAAATTGAGAAAAGAAACAAAAATGATGCAAGAAAATCATGAGAAACAAGTCAACAGCTTGGCAAGGGAGACACAAAAAATACTGAAGAAAATAACACCTTAAAAAATAGACTAGGCCAATAGGTATAAAGACTAGGTATAAAAAGTCAATGAGAAGAATGCCTTAAAAAAAAACAGAATTGGCCAAATGGAAAAAGCGGCACACAATTTCACTGAAGAGGAAAATTCCTTAAAAAGTAGAATTGAGCAAATGGAAGCTAATGATTTTATGAGAAATCAAGAAACAATAAAGCAAAACAAAAAGAATTTAAAAATAGAAGACAATGTGAAATATCTTATTGGAAAAACAACTGACCTGGAAAATATATCCAGGAGAGATAACTTAAAGATTATTTGACTATCTTAAAGCCATAATTTAAAAAAAAAGAGCCTAGACATAATCTTTCAAGAAATTATTAAAGAAAACTACCCTGATATTCTAGAACCAGAGGATAAAATAGAAATTGAAAGAATCCACCAATCACCTCCTGAAAAAGATCCCAAAATGAAAATTCCCAGGAATATTATAGCAAAACTCCAGAGCTCCCTGGTCAAGGAGAAAATATTGAAGCAGTCAGAAAGAAACAATTCAAGTATTGTGGAGCCACAGTCAGGATAACACACTATTTAACAGCTTCTACCTTAAAGAATCAGAGGGCTTGGAATAAGGTATTGCCAGAGGGCAAAGAAGCTAGGATTACAACCAAGAATCACCTACCCAGCAAAACTAAGTATAATCCTTCAGGGAGGAAAATGGATATTCAATGAAATAGAGGACTTTTAAGTATTCTTGATGAAAAGACCAGAACTGAATAGAAAATTTGACTTTCAAATACAATACTCAACAGAAGTATAAAAAGGAAAATAGGAAAGGAAATCAGTGACTTAATAAGATTAAGCTGTTTACATTTCTGCCTGGGAAAATGATACTTAAAACTCATAAGAACTTCCTTATTATTAGGGCAGTTAGGAGTATATATAGATAGAGGGTACAGGTATGAGTTGAATATGAAGGGATGATATTAAAATAAAATAAAATGAAGGGGTGAGAGAGGAATGTATTGGGAGAAAGAAAAAAGGAGAGGTAGAATGGGGTAAATTATCTCACATAAAAGAGGAATGAAAAAGTTTTTACAGTAGAAGAGAAGAGAGAGGAGATAAGGGGAAATGAGTGAACCTTCCTCTCATCAGAATTGGGTCAAAGAAAGAATAACACACACACTCAATTGGATATAAAAATCTATTTTATCTTATAGGAAAGTAAGAGGGGAAGGGAATGGGGGGGTGATAGAAGGGAGGGCAGATTGGAGGAGAGGGGACTCAGAAGCAAAACACTTTTGAGGAGGGACAGGGTGAAAGGAGAGAGAGAGAATAAAATAAACAGGGAGTGGGGGGGAATAGGATAGAAGGAAATTCAGTTAGCAAACATAATTGTGTAAAAAATTTTGAAGCAAGCTCTAACAAAGGCCTCATTTCCCAAACACATAAGAAATGAGTCAAATTTATAAAAATAAGAGCTATTCCTCAATTGATAAATGATCAAAAGATGAGAATAGTTTTTCAGATTTTAAATTTTAAAATGAATTTAAAATTTTAAGAACAAATGTTAAAAATTGTTTTTACATGTAACTGGGGAAAAATAAAATACTAAACAAAAGATGATAGAGAAGTTGGAGGCAAGGGTTACTAACCTAGGGTCCATCAATCTATCGGTCAATAAGTACCTATGACACACTAGGTATTGTATTAGGAGATGGGGATACAGAGAAAGAGCACACAAAAACATGCCATGGTCCTATAAAAATGGTATGAAGACTACCAATACTCAGAATAAGCTGAGGCTGACATGGAAAGCTAAGGACAACAAAAAGAGTATTCTGGGGTCTGTCGGGTTTTTTAGCGATGTTAGGGGACGTAGAGAGATGGCGTGGTGTGGTGTGGTGTATTATAATGGTGTTAAACTCACATAGAAACAGGGGGCCACTAAACCATATATAGAGATCTCTGCTGGCTATATAATGACTTAGTTTTCAAATGCAACATTATCTATGGTTTACTGTGTTTATATTTCTTTTGTAAAATTTTCCAACTACATTTTAGTCTGATTTGGGTTACGTTTAGCAGTATTATGGATTTCAGGTGACCCACAGGCCTTGTGTCTGGCCCCTCTGGTGTAGAGGCTGGAGAAGTATCCTCAGAGCCATGAAGACCTGGGCTCAAGTCCTCTCTCTGACAAAGAATGGTTGTGACTCTGGGTGAGTTACTTCAACTCTCAATGTTCTGGACAACTTTCTAAGATCATAAATTGCACAGAAGGTGCTAACCTGTATTAGTAGAAGGAGTTTCTTCATTTTGGAGTTCTCTTTTTAGTGAACTCATCAAATTAGTACCTATTCCTATGGAATAAAGGGAGAACGAGGATGGAGCCAAGGTAGTGGGGTAGCAAGAAGTACAGAGAGCATTCCCTCCCCACCCCCAACTCAACTTCCTCCAAACACATCTAGAAAATCTGCCAGACTAAATCCTGCTCAAGAAATCCAAGAAAAATCTGTGTCATTTGTTCAGTCTAATTTGGCATAGGGAAACAGAGTGTCTGCTGAACTGGGAATGGAGTCTGGCCAGGAACTGAGTACTCCAGGGCCCAGGGACTGTGCCCAAAGATAAGATGAGGACCTAGGACCACACTGGAACAAGTGTCAACTGGTAGCTTTGTTGGTCACAGACCCAGGGCAGAGAGAGGAGGGGGCCTGCACCTTGGTGTAACAATCCAGGGTGAGATGCAATTGCAAGCTTTGGACTGTGTACCTAGCAAGAAGCAAGTTTAGAAGCAAGTACAAACTTTGCGGTTCTGACCCCAAGAGTGAAGCAGACTCTCAGTTCTAGCTTCTATGCCCATCTGAAGCCTGCAGAGGAAGAACAAAGGCAGAAATACCAGACCAAAAGGAAGCCTACAGTTCTGTCACTCTGCATCAGCAGAGCTGTTCAGCTGGCTGATAGAGTTTGAGTACAGCAGCAGTCCACTGTTGCTCAGATAAGAAACAAGGTCAAAGACTTGTAGGGATCAGACTAAGGGAACAGTAAATCAGCCTTTGCCCTGGATCATACCTCTTTGGGAACAGGAAAGCTTGCAGGTCCCTAGCCTGAGCTGTCCCTGAGAGCCTGGAATAACACCACACTTAACACGCCAAGAAAACAGCATCAGGACCAATCTAGATCTTTCTTCCAGAAGTGTGAAAAGTGTGGCCTGTCTGAACTCAGAAATTAGGCTGGAAGAATGAGCAAACAGAAAAAGAATCCCACCATAAAAAACAGAGGAGACAGAAACTTGGAAGAAGAAAATGACTCCAAAACATCTACAAGCAAATCCTCAAAGAAAAATAGCTTGGACATGAATTCAACTAGAATCCCTAGAAGTGATGAAGCAAAACTTTTTTAAAAGAGTTTACCAAAAAAAAATATTTATAAAAGAAATGAGAGCACTGGAGGGAAAAAATGGAAAAGAAATAAGAATTATAAAAGAAAGCATTGGAAAGGGAATTAACAGCTTCATACAAGAGGTACAAAAGCTTGCTAAAGCAATACATTCCCTGAAAATTGGAATGGAACAAATGGAAGCCAATGACTCCATGAAGCAACAGTAAATACTAAACAAAGTCAAAAGATTTTTTTTAAATAGAAGAAAATATAAAGTATTTCATAGGAAAAAAAACTGACCTTGAAAACAGACCAAGGAGAAAAATAATTTAAGAATCATTTGACTAACTGAACATCATGACTAAAAAAAAGATAAAAGAAAACAAAAGAAAAGCCAAGTCATCATAATTTTAAAAATTTTAAAAATAAAACTGCCAAGATGACTTGGAACTATAAGGTAAGGTAGAAATAGAAAGAGTCCATTGATTACCTGCTAAAAGAAATCTCAAAATGAAAACCCTCAGGAACATTGTAGACAAAATCCGGTGTCCAGATCAAAGAAAAAAATATAAAAACAGTCAGAAAGGAAGGATTAAAGTGCCAAGGAATCACAGTCATAATCACACACAGTTTAGAAGCTATCATCATAAATGATCAGAGAGCTTAGAATGCAATACTCTAAAAGGCAAAGGATGTGGGACTATGGCCAAGAATAATTTACTCAGAAAAATTAAGCATAATCCTAGAGGAAAAAAATTAAACCTTTAATAAAATAGAAGACTTCCAAGCATTCCTGATGAAAAGACCTGAGCTATGGGAAAAACTTTCAAGTTCAAACACAGGAGTTAAGAGAAACACAAAAAAGTAAATATGAACAAACAAGGATAAAGGATTTTTGAAAGGCTAAATGACTTGCACTGTATTGTAGGAAGATAGTACATGTGATCCCTCTGAATCCTATCATCAAACTATCCAACTAAGGTCAAAGAGTCCAACTAAACAGAAGGGCTGAGAATGATTCTGCTATGTCTTGGTGATCTTAAAAAGAAGAATATAGGGGAGGGGAAGAGGACTATACTAGAGGAGGGAAGGAAGAGGAAGGTTAGGGAAAATTACCTCACATAATCATATTGTGCATGTAGAAGTCTATACAAACTACAAGGAAGGGGTAATGGGAATGGCTGATACTTAAACTTCATTCTCATCTTACCTGGTCAAAGAATGGAAGAATACATGCACCACAGTTGAGTGCAGAAAGGCATTTTACTCAACAGGGAATTAGGGCAAGGAGGGAAGGGAGAAAGAGAAATTAGAAAAAAATATATAGAATAAGAGAGGGATTAGTCCTAAGCAAAACAAACTCTAAGAGTATACAAAAATATTTATAGCTCTTTTTGAGGTGACAAAGAATGGGAATCATAGAAAGTACCCATTGATTGGAGAATGGCTGAATATGTTATTGTTTATAAGTATGATGAAATACTATTGTGGTATAAGAAATGATAAAGGGGCTATTTTTTTTATGAGGCAATTGGAGTTAAGTGACTTGCCCAGAGTTACACAACTGTGTGTCAAGTGTCTGAGGTCCGATTTGAACTTAAATCCTCCTGACTCTAGGGCTAGTGCTCTATCCACTGTGCCATTTTCAAAGAAACCTGGGGACATTTATATAAAATGATGCAGAGTGAAGTGAATGGAGCCAAGAAGACAATTTATACAATGATGACTACAGCACTGAGCCAAGTTTAATCTGATGAAAATTAATAGGACTAAAAATCCTTCCTTTGGGTTAAAAAAAAATCAGTTTCATAAGTAGAAATAAGAGAAGCATTACCAGGCAGTGTTTTATCTGAAAAGTACCAGGATGTTTTGATGGAGTGCAAATGTAAAATGAGTAAAAAATGTAACATGCCATAAAAAAGATAATGTGATTTTTTGTTGCATTAAGAGATGAATGGGGTCTAGGAACCCAGTCTAGGAACCTGTACTTTTTTTATAAAAGAAATGAGAGCACTGGAAGAAAAAAATGGAAAAGAAATGAGAATTATAAAATTGTAAAATTTGTAATTATAAATTAATTATAAATAAAAATTATAAAATTATTCTTTAGCGAGGATATTGATAATCTAGAGATTGTTCACAGGAGGCAACTGGAAGGGTTGTGTGAAGGGTATCAAGTTTCTGTCAAGTGAGAATCACTTCAAGGAAGTGAGAATGTTTATCTTCGGGCAGGAAAGGCTCAAGGGAACATGACAATCCTCTTCAAGTCCCGGAAAAGCTGCCATGGAGTCTGCTTGGTCCAGGAGGGGAAAACCAAGAACAACTTCATCTTTGTAACATCTCTCCACTATTTCTCCTTCTCTCCTCTAATACTGTCGCCACCTGGTGTGGGCCCTCATCTCCTCACTTGTGGACCTTTGCCATATCCTGCTGGTAGGTCTGTTTGCCTCATTTTTGTCTCTCCTCAATCCAACTTATCCTTCATTCTGCCACCAAAGTGATTTTCATAAAGTGAATGTCTGACCATGTCACCCCTTACTCAGTATACTCCAGTAGCTCTCTATTGATGTCAGGATGAAATATGAAAGGGGGCAGCTAGATGGTGCAGTGGATAGTGCATTGGGTTTAGAATCTTGAAGACTCATTTTCATGAGTTCAAATCTGGCCTCAGACATTTGGTGCAATGAGCAGGGCATTGGGCTGGGAGTCAGGAAGACTCATCTTCATGAATTCAAATTTGGTCTCAAACATTGACTACCTGTGTGACCCTGGGCAAGTCACTTAGCCCTCATTTATCCCTTATGCCTCAGTTTCCTTAACTGTAGCAATGAGCTGTAGAAGGAAATGTCAAACCACTCCAGTATCTTTGCCAAGAAAATCCCAAAGTGGGGTCACAAAGAGTTGGGCACAGCAACAAAAATCCTCTGTTTGGCATTCAAAGCCCTTTATAACTTAGCCCCTTCTACTTTTCCCATCATCTCACACCTTGTTCCCTGACATGTTCTCCTTTTTCTTTTTTCAATGACACTGGCCTCCTTGCTGTTCTATAGATAAGACACTCTCTCTCAGCTCTAGGCATTTTTTCCTGGCTGCCCCATATGTCTGAGATGCTCTCCCTCTTCAGCTCTACCCCCTGGTTTCCCTAGATTCCTCTAAGTCCCAACAAAAAGCCCACCTTCTAGAGGAAGCCTTTCCCAACACCTCTTAATTTTACTCCCTTCCCTCTCTTAATTGTTTCCTATTTATCTTGTTTATCCCTTGTTTGTATACATTTGTTTGCTTGTTGCCTAATTCCCCCAATAGATTGGAAGATCCTAGAAGGCAGAGTCTGTTTTGCCTCTTTCTGTATTCCAAGGGCTTAGCACAGCACATGGCACATAGTAGGTACTTAAAAGTTTATTCACTGACTGATGATGGGTAGAAATTACAAAGGAGGCAGGTTAAAGCTGGAAATCAGGAAACATTTCCTGACAACTAGAACTGTCTGAAAGCAAAGTGAGATGCCTTCAAGTGGGATGAGTTCATTGGTGGGCTTCAAGCAAAGACTGGATGGCTACTTCTCAGATGAGTTGTGGCAGATACTGTTTTTTCGCTTGGAGTTTGACTAACTTTCCAATGAGATAATGTAAATAAGTATACATCATGTCTGAAATACCAACCATACAACTATCACATCAACTGATCATATCAATGATGCAACTACAGGATAGGAAAGACATGTCTAGATTGCAGTTCATATGAAAAGGGCCTAGGGTTTAGTGGATTTCAATTTCTGTGGAAGCCCCCAGTGTTCTGTGACAGGGCAGGGATGTGCTGGAGCCAGCTCATACTGTCTCAGGAGAGCTGATTGTTAAATTTTCAGTGTGAGCATCAACACCGGAGACATTGACAAATGCTACAAATAAAAGCTTGATTTATTGTTTTCTTGATTTTCTAATCTAGACTTAAGAAAGTGATGGAGAAAATGTTAATAATGCAGATTAAAGTGAAAAGTGTGAAATGCGTAATTTTTTTCAGAGATCTGGTTGTTAAATATTTGCATCCTAGAATAGGAGGAAGGAGAAGAGAAAGCTGACTGGACCTGAGGGATCATGTCTAAAATGAGGGAAGAGTTCTAAAATCTGCTCAGGTCAGATCACATCTTGAGTATTTTGTTTGATTCTGTGCACCATATTTTAGGGAGAATATTGACAAATTGAAACATGTGCAGAGGAGAACAATCAATACAGCAAGGAAACTAAAAAGCTATGCCCAAAAGGATCAGTTGAAGGAACTGGATTCTTTAAGCCTATAAAAGAGAAGGTTTGGGGGAACTTAATAACTAACTTAAAGTGTTTGAAAGGTCACCATGTGGGGAGGGAATAGATTTTATTTTATTTTATTTTATTACCTTATAAGACAGAACTTGAAACAACATGTAGACTTTGCAAAGCAGCAAATTTAGGACCTATATGGGTGGGGGGAGAGGAATTGCTATCATTCAAAAGTAATACAGGCTGCCTTAGGAGGGAGGGACTTTTCCATCACTGGAAATCTTTAAGCAGAGGCTGAGTTACCCCTTTTCTTTCTTTTTCCTTTTGGTGAAGCAATCAGGGTTAAGTGACTTGCCCAGGGTCACACAGCTAGTAAGTGTCAAGTGTCTGAGGCTCTATTTGAGCTCGGGTCCTCCTGACTCCAAGGCCTGAGCTCTGTCCACTGCACCACTTAGCTGTCCCTGATTATTCCTTTTCTTAATGTTATAAAATAGGTTCCTGCTCAGATATGGGTTGGCCTGGATGCCCTCTCAGTTCCCTTTTAGCTCTGAAATTCTATGATTCTATGATCCTTATCTCCCTAACCATTCTTATTCCTTCAGCCTGATCAACATGCCCATTATATGAATCCACATAAGCAACTTCTTTGTCAAATTCCCATAGTGGCTATTCCAAATCTTTTCCATTCTCCTCAAATTACCAATCCCACCCTTTACCTCTTTCACTCTTTGCAGATGGCTACAGATCTTACATTTTTGGTAAGATTAAGACCACTTACCATCAGGTCACTCACCTTCCCTTCTCTTCACCTTAAAATGTCTGTCTTCACCCATCCTGTCTTGCTTTACTTCTAATATTTAAGGAAGAACTCTTTCTCCTCTCCTCTTTATTGCAAGTTGATATGACCCTCTTCTACCTCCTCTCAGTCCTTGTCCATTAATATCCTCTCTCTTGCATCTTTCATCTCTCATCATCTTTCATCATCTTCACTGACTTTCTTCCACCATCAATCTTGCCCTTCCCATCTAGTTATAACTTGCTTGCTCTCCTATACCCTAAAAAAACCTCCTCTTGATTTTTTCAATCTCCCTCAAGATACCTAATTATCTTGCTCCCTCCCTTAACCACTAGACTTCTTGAAAGAGTTATCTACACTTAATTCCTCATCATCCATTCACTCTCTTGTAAGATATTTTTCACTCTTCCCTCTCTATTGGAATGGCTTGCTCCAAGGTCACTGATAACCAATCAATAGCCTTATCTCAAGTCTCATCTTCCTTGATCTTTTTGCAAACTTTAACCATATTGACCAGTTCCATCCCAACTTCACAATGCTATCTTTCCTGTTGGCTTTTTTTCACATTAATTATACTATCTTCATTGAATTTTTTTTTTATTAACGTGGTCCCTGGATCATACTTGGAGAATCACTGTGCCAACCTGAGGCATGTTTAGTTTCTGTTCCTCTGGTCATACTGTTGACTATCTGAGTAAGACCCTGTGATTTCCACATCAGTCCCCACCAGGGAGTGTTTCCTAGTCAGACCACTTCCTTACAATGTCCCTTAAGGGAAGAAACATCAGGGTGAGAAGGAAAGAAGTATAGCTTAATTGTCTATGTGGTGAAATTTCAGGGACACAAGAGAGGCTCCCTCTGCCTAGAAACATCTGCCCAGAGATTGTAGGCTTACGTGATGCCTGCTACCCCAGGTAGCTGAGATTACAGGAGAATCTCAAGATACTCTTATGAAATACTACAAAGAGATGGTAGGGAGGCACAGCAAGGGAGGCCAGTGAAGACACTGACAACTTCTCCATTATCTTGGGCTAGCCCTGAATCTGGCCTCTAAGGCCATAGCATCGTCCTTGACCCTGAGCAGGGAAGGACCCTCTGTTATTATTCACTGGGAAGAGAGTAATCCTTGCAGTGACTCTTCCCAAGGGGAAAAAGATGAGTGATAAGTGTCCCAGTCCACTGGAGCTGCTCTGGGGACTTAGGAGGCTTGCACAAAACACCAAGACCAAACAGTGATGCTAAAAGTAAGAAGTCTTTACTTGGCACATTTTACTTTACACAAGGGAAAGCTTGAGGCATAAGGGGATACACAGGAATGGAAGCAGAGAGGAGAAGGCAGGGACAACAGGGGAAGGATGAGCAGTCTCCAGGCTATGGCAGGAGAAGGAAAAGGATTCATAATGGTCCTCCAAAGAGTTTAGTCCTTTTGTCTTGGCATGTCCATCTTCTCCTCTCTGGTCGTTCCTTCTAATGATTGTGGGAAACTGCCTGGAGGCCTTCTCTCTACTGAGGCTCTTCTACCTCTTCCCTCCCCCCTCCAATCAACTCTTGGTATTGAAAGGCAACACTTCTAAGACTACAGGAGCCATTATATATATATATATATATATATATATATATATATATATATATATATATATATATATATATATATATGTATGTGTGTATGTATGTATGTATGTATGTATGTATGCACATTAGGAGAGAAGCCCCCTTACTGGGTCAACAATGAAATAGGCCAGCACCTTGAGCTTTATACGGGGAGAGGTCAGGGTAGGTTCTTGCTCAGGTTAGTTTTCCAGTTCTATTGTCACAAGGGGGGAGTTGTAAGGAGATTGCATGAAGCATGGACATTCCTAGAATAAAAGATAACAGCCATAGAGAATTTTCTAAAAAGAGAGATAGAGACGGAGAGCTAGATACAGAGAGAGAGAGAGAGAGAGAGAGAGAGAAGGAGAGTGAGAGAGAGAGAGAGTGAGAGAGGGAGAGAGAGTGAGAGAGGAGAAGAAGGAAGAGAAGGAAGAGGAGGAGGAAGAGGAGTAGTAGTGGGCTACCTCTAGAGCAGAGAGAAGAAAGAAAACCTCACACCCCACAAAATGTTTGGTTTGGTTTGGTTGCTTTCCTGATGACCACAATGAAGAAAGGGGCAAACATTTGAGGTAAGGCTCTGTCCTCTGACAGGCTTTATAGGAGGGTCCCTAGTCCACCTCAGCTCCTCAGTTTGTCCATCTAGAAGCCTGGAAGAATTATCTCTTGCTTCCACAAGTGGCCATTTAGGAATACCTGGTCCAACATCTTCACACCTCTGGATGAAGACACCAGAGAAAAAGTTTTGACTTTGCAGAACTGCAGCTTATATAGTAATTGCTTAATAAATACTTTTT